GTCCCTGGAGGCCTCTTTCCAGGCTGATTTTGACATCTGCTGTCTATCTGGAAAGAACAGGTGGTGCTGGGAAAGATGGGGGGGGGGGATTGTGAAAACTGATGGTTGGTTCCTGGGACGTGCACCATGCTCTGCAGACCAAGCTTTGTCATGTATGTGTTGTCACACAACAGTAATAGGCAAGAATTCTTAACATTCTGGTCTATTGATCCAGGCTTAGTTTATATGTGTGTGTGTGTGTGTGTGTGTGTGTGTGTGTGTGTGTGTTTTGCCTTCATGTATAAGTGTATCATGTGTGTGCAATTTCTTTGGCTGCCAGAAGAGAGTTACATCCCCTGGAACCAGACACGAGGGTGCTGGGAACCAAGCCCATGTCCTCTGCAAGAGCAGTCAGCGCTCTTAACCTGTTGAGCCGTCTCTCTCCAGCCTCTGTACCTACCTTTTCAGCATCTCCTGTGTGCGCCACAACCAGCCCAGTTTCTGTTTGTTTTTAATCAAATCAAGATGCAATTACTCTGAAGCCAGGCATAGGAGGCAGAGGCAGGTGGATCTCTGTGAGATCAAGGCCAGCCTGGTCTACAAAGCAAGCTCCAGGCCAGCTGGGGCTACAGGGAAGACCCTGTCTCAAAAAAAGTTCAAAAGCAATGAAAAAAGATACAATTACTCTGTAATAAATACAGAAACCTGTACCCCTCAGTATCTCCAAAACCCAGTGCACCTTTGTGCCGACTAGCCCTGTATCATGTTAGTCAAAATGAGAATGCTTACGAGCCAGTGGAACTTGAGAAACATACCACGGCCCAACCTTGATGCATCCTGTTCACCATCCTTTATTGAGTGACAGAAGGAGGCCTGACCTGATTGGAGAGACCTAAATATACCAAGTACATAATGGTGTTACATGAATTATGAAAGATTTAAGAGAAAGCTTGACTGGGGGAGATGCTGAGAGACCACGCAGGATAAGGAACTGATGCAGCAAAGTCCCAGTGGCCCTCAAGACAGGGTCAAGGGCCTTGAATTCCAGGCAGAGAATTCTCAAGCTTTTTAAGCTAAGTGGTCTATTGGAGTCTTAGATTCTTTTCTCCTTCCTCTGGGTGGGGTGTGCATTTGCATGTAGAGTCTAGAGGTCAATGTCAAGTGACTTTCTCAAAGACTTTCCTCTTTATCGTGTTGCTGTTTTGTTTTTCTGACACAGGGTTTTGCTGTGTTGCTTAGACCACACACTAAGTGTACGTGCACTCACAGAGATCTGCCTCTCTCTGCCCTGAGTGCTGGGACTAAAGATTTGGGTTTTTTAAATTATTATTGTATTTATTTGTAATTTCTGTGGGGTACATGGGGCACATCACAAGTGTGGAGTTCAGAGGACAACTTGGAAGAACCAGGTCTCTTCTGCCACAAGGGCTCCAGGGATCAAGCCCAGGCTCAGCAGCAAGTACCTAGCCTGCTGAGGGTCTCACTGAACCTGGAGTCCATCCACCCACTCTGCAAGACTAGCTGGCTGGCGGAACCCTAAGGATCTGCCTGTCTGTCTCTCCAGCACTGGGGTTATAGGCTTTTGTTGTCTGAAACTGCCCCATTCTGTAGCACAGGCAGGCCTGGAACTTACAATGTAATGTAGGTGGACCTCAAACTAGTGGCAATCCTCCTGCCTCAGCCTCCTAAGTGTGGGATTACATCAACGAGCTTGGCTTGCATTTCAACCCCATTCCCACCACTTCTAAGGTGGTCTTAGAACCTGACCTGCCACAGTCTTCTCTGTACAGCTTGGGTGTTTACTAAATTATGAGAATTCAATGAAAATGCAGCCACTTTTCACAAGTCCAGAAAAACATTAGCCTTCATGAAATCATTAATAATCACATAGCACTAAAGACTGACACTGTAGTTTTTAGACTGCCCCATGTAAAAAACATCTGATCACAAAAGGAAAAGCCTGAGCTGGGTGTGGTGACGCACATCTTTAATCACAGTAGGAGGCTGATCTTTTGAGTTCCAGGCCAGCCAGGGCTACATAGTGAGACCCTGTCTCAAAAAAAGATTGGGTGTGGTGGGTAGTTCATGCCCGTGGTCCCAGCTCTGTGGCAGCAAAGGCAGGCGGATCTCAGGTCAGCCTGGTCTACATAATGAGTTGCAGGTTAGCTGTGGCTACAGGGAGACCGTCTCAAAAAGACAAAACCAAAAAACCTATGCACAAGCATTAGAGGGTTTCAGGTATAATTTCCCTCAAACTGGAAATTCACAATGTCCAGACAATGGAGTCTGACTCACCAATTCTGAGAAAGGACAGCTGCTGGCCGCACGTGAGGGACGCTCAAGCACACTGTGCTAGATGGAAGTGCCAGGCTCATGGTGTATACCCTGAGTCTGTATGGCATTCTGGAAGACGAGCCGGCAAAGCACACCTTGCGGGTCAAATGGTTTGTACTCTTCACGTTCTGCAGCCCTTGGGATCAAATCATTGCTTCTCGTAGTTCTGTCAAAAAGCCTGGCTGACTCCTATTACTGGGACAGGGGGCAGCTTAGAGGTTGCCAGGGTAACATGGAGATGGAGTTGCCAGCAAGAGGTTTTTCAGTGGGTGAACAGAACTGCTGTCTTAACAGTGGTGGCCATGTGACTGCATTTGACAATTCTGTACACCAAAGGTGGACTTCTAAATGTTTTATTTTGCAATCATTTTTCAACAAAAGGGAGCAGGCATGGTGGCACGGGCCTTTAACCCTAGTGCTAGGGAGGCAGAGGCAGGCAGCTCTCTTGAGATTGAGGCCAGCCTGGCCTGCATAGCAAGTTCCAGGCTAGCTGAGGCTACAGAGGGACCTCATCTCAGAAACAAAAAGGTGTGTGGGGGGATGTCAGTGGTCATTAGAGATGGAGACAAGACTAACTACAGGTGGCATGGGAATGTTTTAGGTAATAGAACTGTTCTGTGTACCAATTTGTTATAAAACTACCTATTTATGGGGCTGGAGAGATGGCTCAGTGTTTAAGAGCACTGGCTGCTCTAGCAAACGACCCAGGTTCGGTTCCCAGAACCCACATCATGGCTAACAACCATCTGTAACTCCAGTTCCAGGTGCGCTTACATACATGCATGTATAATACTCACACATAAAAAATAAATAAATCACTAGGCGTGGTAGTACAAGCCTTTAGTCCTAGCACTTGGAAGAGGCAGGTGGACCTCTGAGTTCGAGGCCTGCCTAGTCTACATAGCAAGTTCCAGGCCAGCTGAGGCTACAGGGAGACCCTGTCTCAAAAAGACCAATCAATCGATAAATGAAAATAAATTGAAACAAAACTACCTGTTTGTAACCAGCAGGGTAGCATGCCCCTCAAATCCCAGCTACCTGGGAGGCGGAGGCAAGAAGGTCACAGGTACTAGGCCAGCTTAGGCTACATAGAGCAGGTAAACAAAAATAAATATCAAACAAAAATCCAACTATGTATTTGTCAAACTTCATAGACCAGAGGGTGGTTTGACTGCATATAAATGAGGTTTTTTAGAGGTACTGAAAAAACAGATGGCAAACATCATTGTGTAAACAAGAAGACTTACTGGCTCTATCTCAGCAGTAAGAGACCAGTGGAAGGTACAGAACGGAGGGCTGAGCACCAGCTCCAGGCACAACTCTGGGGACCCTCACACAGAGGTGTTACTTCTTCTCAATTCCACTTGGTTAGTGTGACTTCGTGTTTTCCTCTGGAAACGGTAGTTATTTGTTGCTGGTTGTTTTCGTGCTGGGGTGCAGTCCCAGGACCTTGTGAATCTAAGTATGCACTCTACATATCCCCAGCCAGAAATGCTCACATTAAAGTTTCACAAACTTCTCAGTAGGAAGCAAGATATGAGAGTGAGGAGCCCTGCAAACTACAGCAGTAAGTAAGCACATCACTATGAAAATGCCAACAGACCTTTAATGGAAAAGGAAAACCAGATTTCTGTACAATTAAAAAAAAAAAAAAAAAAAAAACGAACAGCCCTGTTTTTTAAATACAAAAATTCAAAGGCAGCACGGAATGCTACATCTTAGCTAAAACAATGAGATGTCTGCAAGATCTCAGGATATACAGGCAACTGTGTACACAGCTGTATTGAGGCACTCCAGATCCACCTGCACATTCCAAGGGACACGCAGCAGTCTTTGCTGCTGCACCCAGAGCCTCAGCGGTGCCATCTGCCTGGGGTTCCCTCCTAGGCAGGATGAGACCTCTTGGCTGGCCTGTCAGAGAGGCTGTTGTCTAGTCCTTTGCATATCAGGACAGAATGCAACCATGCTGAGAGCCTGGGGATGTGAGACCACAGCCGCAGTGCGTCACTTCAGAGCTGGGCCCTCGTCTAGGAGCATCATCACGAGGCTGACTTAAAGGTCTTCTGTTGCCTTAGGACAATGCTTCCTCCTCTTGGCTTTGGTCCTCCTCCTCCTCCCTCTTCTCTTTAAGCATTTTCAGGTACTTACTGGCTAAAATCTTCTTTGGTAATATATCTTAAAAACAAAGCTTACATCAGTAACTGGTCATGGTGAACAATGAATACAATTCAAGTTTCAAGATGTTCTAGTTCCTCTTTTGACCCCTAGAATAGCTTCCAACACAAGCCGAAATCTAGCTACACTTCCGGGTGAGGCAGCACTTGAAAGTAGCACTTGTTTCCTGACTGATGTACAGACCAGCCCAATCCACCCAACCCACCCAAGAAAGGCTGGGCTGACCCCTGGGCTGGAGTGATTCTCCTTCTAGCTGTAGCCCTGAGCACACTGCTCTGTTGGCCTGGTGGGGAGGGAGCTGGGCAAGCAGACAGCCCTGAGTGAGCCTGGCCAGCCTGGCATCTGTGTACAGCTGACTTCTAGTTCTGCTCCTGTGGGCTACATAACACCTCCAACAGGGAAGACCAGAAACACCTCTCTGCCAGGTCAGAGAAGACAGCTAGTGTGTAAGTCAAAGAGAGAACTGGGGACAAAAAGTTCTAATTACTATTTTTTAACCATGTTTCAAGTACCTGCAAGAAACTGAAAGGTTTCGGCCTCCTGCGCAGTGCTGGCTACGTCGCTGTAGGTCAGGGCTCTCTTTGCTCTCCCACTGCCGTGTCTGTAGGAACTGGTGGCCAGATGCCGCACAAAGAGTTCCTGAGTGGAAGGAAAACCAAATGAAAGGTAGACCTGGAGAGCTACCACAGACCTGAGCTAAGATCACATGGAAACGGGGATTATCTTGGCTCCTCAAGTTACAGAAGGTAGAGATGAGGTCAGAAAGCATGCCTTGTCAAGGCTGCAGGGTGGGTAGGGGTAGGCACTTTCTGGCTGAGCATGTTTAGGAAGAGTGCAGTGGTGCACGGGTACCACGCCAGCACTCAAGAGGTCGAGGCAGGAGCTGGAAATCACGGCCAGCCTTGGCTACACAGGAAGTTCAAGGCCAGTCTGAACTAAGACTGTACGGGGTGTGTGTGTGTGTGTGAGTGTGTGTGTTACACAGGAAGTTCAAGGCCAGTCTGAACTAAGACTGTACGGGGTGTGTGTGTGTGTGTGTGTGTGTGTGTGTGCGCGCGCGCGCAGGTGCGAGGCCGCTAACGACCGGTCTCTGTAATAGAGCAAAAAACCACCGAAAACTTCTATCCGGAAGGCTCAGGTCTTTATTTCTACACATCGTGTGTGTTTGGGCTTTTGAGACAACGTCTTAGTCTGGTCTGAGCTGGCCTGGAATCCTTGGAGACGCTCCCGCCTCCACCTCCCAGGTGTGTGGACCACACAGACGTGTGGCAACACACCTGTGTCAGGAACACTTTGTCTCCTGGAATGCCTCGTTTGAAGGCTGCTCAGTAAAAATCGTCATTCCAGAGCAGAAGGTGACGCCCTACGTGGCCCAAACCCCAAGCTGGGACCCTTCCCAACCCCCGGACCGAGGTCAGCTCAGAGAAGCCCCTGCAGGGCTGTCCCAGGGCCAAGGAGAGGAAACAGAACGGAGACCACGGGCCCCAGGGCCACGCACAAGCTGGACGAGGCCCAGTCTATGCACACAGCACCCACGGGATGCTCGAGACTTAGTCAACCCCACAGAACCCAGGGCTGACAGTAAGCACAGCCTGAGCTTCGGGTACAGGTCGACTCAGTGGCGTGGAAGCTTCGCAAAGCCCGCACTACTACGCGGGTAGAGGGGCGGAAGGCACGTGGAGCTGCCCGCACGCGGAACACCCTGCACACGGAGCCACACTGGGCGCTCTGCTAACGGGTCACCGCGGGACTGACGCGGTACGCGGGGCGTGAGAGGCGGTAGTAGCGCAGGGAACGCCGGGACTGGGTGAGAGGATGGGCGGGGCGAAAGCAGAGCAGAGGACAACGGAAGCGAGCGGGTGGGCGGGGCCAAGGCCGCGCAGGCGCAGAAGGGGAAGAAGAAGGCGCGCGGCCCCGCTGGGCAGCCGAAAGGCCGGGCGTGCGGTGGAGCCCTTGGGGTCCGCGCCCTCCGCTCACGCCGCCATGCCCGCCGCTCACCGTGGCCTTGGCCGTGAGTACCAGCGCCTCCTGGTTGATGCTTGACACTTCGGGGGAGCTCTTCATGATCACGCGGATGCGGGAGAGGGGTAGCGACACGAGCCGTTGCTCCCCGCACTTGTCTTTCCCCACGGCCGCATCCGCCATCTTCCGGGTCTCCGCGGCCCATGATGCCCCGCGTACCCGCGCCTGCGCAGACGCTGCGCCGCGTGGTACCCTGCAGGGGTGTTGGCGCTCGAGGCTATCCCAGCTCATCATGCCCCCGCTGCGCCCCTGGGCCCTCGGCCGCACAAACCCCTTTGTTCAAAAGCCGTAAATGACCATTAAACCGAGATTCTATTCAACCATATTCTTGCTGTGTCTGGTATGAGTGGGGAGACCAGTCTGAACTAGTTTGGGGTTCATGCGCAAAAAGGCAGATTGGTCTCAAATTGAACTTTTAGGGAAACCCTCTACTTACCATCTTGTACATATGCACAGTTGTATATGCCTATAAGTAAAGTCAGACACATTATAGGAACGGGCAAGTGTTCTCGCACAGAGGACCTGGGTTCCATTCCCAGCACCCACATGGCGCCTAACAACCGTCAGTAACTCCACTTCAGGGGGTCCAACACCTGCGCGACAGAGGTGCGCTTACATGCATGGCAATACGCTTACACACTCAATAAAGTACTTTTGAGAAAGAAAAGAGGTAGCTGGGCAGGCCTTTAATCCAGCACTTTGGAGACAGAGGCAGGCGGATCTCTGTGAGTTACACCAGCTGGGGCTACAGGGAAACCCTGTCTCAAAAAGACCAAAAAAAAAAAAAAAAAAAGGTTCTATAACTTCACCTGTCCATAGAGAACCGCCTAGACTCTACCTCTTAGTAACCAGCTGAAGGTAAGGTAGCCAGGTGAGTGTTGCAGTAAAAATGATGGTCACAGGTTTGTGGGATGAGCTGACTTCTGACTGCATTAGAGAGATTGCAGAAGATTAACGGCAAGCTTTGAACCTGTCTGCCAGATGCATCGGAGAGCCTGAGCCAGTTTCTCTGATGGCCTAGAGATTGATTTCTCTATCCTCTGGCAAACGGGGCTGCAGGCCTCGTGTTAGCTGAAGTCACAGTTGATGGTTGTTGTCCATAGCTCTCACAGTCAGCCTGACACAGCCTAGAATCCAAGTAAGTCTCAACTGAGGAATTTCCCAAATCAGACTGGTCTGTGGACTTTGGGTTGGGGGGTTGCCTTGATTGTTCACTATGTAGGAGAGCCCATTGTGGGCAACACCGTTCCCTCAGCAGGTGGTCCTGAGCAGTATAAGACCAGGAACCAAGCATGGGCTTTGAGTGAGCTGTCGAGAGTGCCTCATGGCTTCTGTTTCAGGTTCCTGTCTAGTTCCTGCTTTAGTTCCTGCCCCACGTCCCTCGGTGATGGCCTGTAACCTAAGCTGAAATAAACCCTTTTTCTCCCCTAAGTTGCTTTTGGTCATGATATTTGTAACAGCAACAAAATGAAACTAGAACAGTGAATGACTCAGGAGAGCTCGGTCCCTGCAACTAGGATGGAAAGAGTTGAGAGGATGCAGTAATGGAGACCTTTAATCCCAGTCCCCACATGCTGTCTTGTCAGTGGAAAGGCCAGCCTGCCGCCTGCCTGAGATGAGGCCCTCCTTCACACATACTGTGACTAACCTTCCTGGAGGGGGCCACCTGGCTAGAGTACGCTGTTCCCTCAAAGCCTTCATCTCATTGACTCCCCTCCTTGGGTCAGATCCCTGAATGCCCCAGGGAAACAACTGCAAAAGATGTTTTGGATTGCTGTCTTCTGAACATTATAGCCAGTACCACCTTAATTAGAGCAGCTGTAACTATCTCCAAGATCTGCCTGCTGACATCCCCTCATAGAAATGTTACCCTTTTGGGATATAAGCACAGGAAACATAGCTCTCCGCTGTCCCCCTCGGCAGCCTGAGGCATACCCCTAGATTTTGACAGACCTTAACTCAGGCGAAATGGATTCGTGGCTTCGATGCACAAAAGAATTTCAGGATTAGCCACTTTAGGAAGCAGAGTTGGGGTTTACTAAAGATCTATTTCAAAATTTTAAATCATTTATTGTGTATGGATGGATGCTTGCCTCAGTTCACACATAGAGGTCAGAAGACAGCTTGTGGGAGTTGGTTCTCTTCTCCTACCATGTGGGTACCTGGGATTGAATGCAAGTTGTCAGGTTTGGTGGCAGGTGCCTTTACCTGATGAGCCATCTCACAGGCCTGGAATATGGTTATTTTAATATAGCCTTAAGTACCAACAGGGTTAAGAGAAAGAAGGGTGCTTGGAAGAAAACAAGACACACCTTTGAGCATGGGCGTGGGCTTCTCAAAGAGCTGCAGCTCCCAGCTGTTTACTATAGTGACTATTGTAAATAGTGGCTAGCCTGGAACTCACCATGTAGATCAGACTGGCCTCAAATTCACAGAGATCATCCTGCCTCTTTCCCCCTAGTGCTGTGATTAAAGACCTGCACTACCATACCTGGCTTCCTTTAGCTTCTTGAGTAGGTGGGATTACAGACCTGAGCAACAATATATTTTAAATAACGTGTCTTTAAACAGAAGCATACGTAGAACACAGTTACATATTAAGCAGTTGACAAAATGTCAATTTTAGCAGCACCTAAAGAGTAAGGCTTTTAAGTTCCATGTTTACAGCAATTAATACCTACCTAAGTCTCAGAAACCAACAGTACCTTAGGGCAAAGGGAAGCCACTGTTGTGTTGAAGGTTATCATGGTTTTGTCCAACAGTCCTGTTCATCCAGGACTCCAGCCCCTTGTGAAGTGCTTACATGCTCCTCACCTCAGGTCAGAGTGCCTCCTCGATTCCCAGCACCCATAGGGCAGCTAACTCCATAATTCCAGTTCCAGGGGATCCGGCACCCTCTTCTGGCCTCTGCAAGGCATTGCATGCACGTGATGCACTTACCTACATGTAAACAAAACACTCCTATACATAAAATACAAATCTGAGATTCTCCTTATCACGTCGTTTGTAAGTGCTGGGCACCCTGTCTGTTGTCTGAGGTGCTTTCTGTGGCGGACTGACCGTTTGTGGCGGAGATTGTGAGGCCCACATATCTCAGATCCACCATGGCTTTGGCCTCTCTAGACTGGAGGAGACACATCTGGGCCTTGGAATCATAGATACATTTTTGCTTTGTGTGTGGCATATGTACACATTTGCGTGGTTTTTGTGGGGTGCACATACATGTGCACACATGACTGTGGAAATGGGGCCTTTCACTGAACTTGGAGCATGTTTGATTCAGCTAGGCTGGCTGGCCAGTGAGTCCCAGAGATCTGTCTGTCTCAGACCCTCCAGTCCTGGGATTACAAATGTGTGCCGTCACACCTGCTGGGGATCAAATTCAGATCTTCGTGTGCTTGTTGTACAAGAACTTTACCCACTGAGCCATCTCCGCAGCCCCACACTCCTTTCCTGCAGTATCCCCACCCAGCTCCCTGTCCCTAGGCCGGAGTGGCTCTGTACTGACTGACCATGTCTGCCTTTTGTGGTCACTGGGGAAACACACAGGCAGCCCAAGCCAGGAGTAGCTGGTGAGGTGATCCGAATCCTCCTGCCTCTTAAGCTCAGCACCCCAGGCAGCTCTCACTTTTCTAAAGCAGGAAGGCCCCCTAATTCATGCCCCTGGCTGGCTTTATGTCTACCAGGCCAGACATGGCATACTTCTGACAAGCCTCCCCTTAACTGTCTCAGCTCCCACCCCTTCTGCCAGCTTTGGGCCCCTCCTTGCCCATTCCCAGCTTGTGCCTTCTGTTTGTGATTAGAGGAATTATTTGTCTTTTGTTGTTGGGCAATTTTATGTGTGTATGTATATATTTGTGTGAGACTTTTTGTTGCTGTGACAAATACCTGAGAGAAATAGTTCGAAGGAGGATTTATTTTGACTAACAGTTCTAGAAGGTTCTAGAAGTTTCAGCCTGTGGTTGGTTTGCTTCGTTGCTGTGGTGAGGCAGACCCTCATGTCCTCAAGAGCATGTAGTGGAGTCAAGTTGCTCACCTTATGCGGTGGCTAGGAAAGAGAGAAAGAGGAAGGGAGCAGGGCCAAGTTACACCCTTCAAAAACAGGCCCTAGACCCCAACTTCCTCCAGCCAGGCTCCACCTCCTCCCAACAGTCTATTTGAATTTTCAGTCCATTGGTGAGTTAAGCCATTGATCAGAGCAAGTCTAATTGTCTCTGGAAATACCTTCACATGCACAGAGGTGAGCTCCCCTAACCTAGGTGTCTCTCAAATTAATCAAGTGGACAATTGAGATTTATCATCAGGAACCTGAAAGATGACTCAGCAGGTAAAGATGCCCCCAAGTCTGATGACTTGAGTCTGATCCCTGAGTCCCTACATGGTGGAGGGAGAGAACTGATTCCTTGTAAGCTGACCTCTGACCTCCACACACATGCCACACAGTGCATACCTGCACACATACACAAAAAATTAATATATAAATTCAATAAAAATTGTAAAGATTACTGATCAGAATGCTATCTGATCAGTAAAAAGTTTGCATCTTTTGTATGAGTTATAAATTCATAAGTAAATGTAATTTAAAACTCCATACATTCGCCAGGTGTGGTGGCGCACGCCTTTAATCCCAGCACTTGGGAGGCAGAGGCAGGCAGATCTCTGTGAGTTCAAGGCCAGCCTGGTCTACATAGTGAGTTCCAGGACAGCTGGGGCTACAGGGAGACCCTGTCTAAAAAGACCAAAAAATAATTCCATACATTCATGTAAGTATAAATATGTATGTAAAACCCTCCTCTAAGTCTTCATCACCATTGCTGCCGCTGACCACCCTCTCCTGGACTGAAGGTCCATTCCTTGAAAAGGTGTCTTTACATCACTGACCTTAAGACTTGTTAAGGAATTCTCAAAAATACATGTATTATCAAGTGGGCAATTGTTGACATTTAAATGTTTTTAACTTAAGTAGATGTAAAAGATGTAAATTGCAGCATTTATAAACATCAAAAATTGAACATGAAAGTGTTCCTTTGGGGTATTTCTAGTGCACCATAAATGTCACATGATCCCAATCCACTGAAAACATGCATGGACATGGTGATGCAGTCCCAGCTCCTGGGGAGGTAGAGGCAGGAGGATCAGGAATTCAAGGACAGTTCTCAGCTATATATGGAGTTCAAGGTCAGCATCAATACATGAGATCCATTCTCAAAACACCAAAACCAAAGGCCAGATGGGCAAGATGACTTAGTGGGTAAAGGCCCTTTCCATCAAGCCTGATGACCTCAGTTGGAGCCTCAGGACCCACGTGGTGGAACAC